ACATACCGCTGTGCCACTGGGAGCAAGTGGGTTTCTTTGTAATTAAGCACAAAGCTACACAATGGGCTATCTGTGCTCTGCCCACCACGGGTATCGAAACCCGGATTCTAGCGTTGTAAGTCCGCAAACATACCGCTGTGCCACTGGGGAGGGACGGTCTCTTACTTTGTTACAACATGAATAACAAATGTTAAAAACATTTGTAAATGTTGTATTATATAACTAATATGATAAAACAAAATTCCAATTTTTTTTGGAATGTTTTTTTTTTAACATTAGCAATGACACGTAAATATTCTTTATATAAATCGTAAAGTGGAGAATAAACCGAAAAGTTAAAAAATTAAATAAGTGTTTGATATGATTTTCATAAATTTATATAAATATCATGAACATTGATGTGATACTATTCTTTTGATGATTAAAACCTAATATACATAAAAGTCATTCTGCGTGTAACGCTCATATTACGAGTCACCTTTATTTAAGTTTTGCACAGGGGGCATGTCCGAGGACTTATAACCGGGTTTCGATATCCGTGGTGGGCAGAGCACAGATAGCCCCTTTGTGTTTAACTACAAACAAACAAGTTGGCATCATTATTTTTTTTTAAAGTGTATTTGAAAATCGTTTTTATTTTCTCAAATATTTGTATTTTATTTAGAGAATAAGGCTTACTAAATTTAGTATGTATTATTTAGCAGGTCAACAATGAAATATATATTATATTATCTAAAACGCTACTAGAGGGAAGGCAGCTAGTCATCACTACCCACCGCCAACTATTGGGCTACTCTTTTACCAACGAATAGTGGGATTGACCGTCACGTTATAACGCCCCCACGGTTGAAAGGGCTAGCATGTTTGGTGTGACGGGGATTCGAATCCGTGACCCTCAGAAAAATTAAATTTATACAGCTGGTCTCGTACGGATAGTACTCAATCTATAGTTTATTCTCAGTACAGTACATCTATTTAAGTATTGGTTGCACAAAAATGTAAGTGTAAAAAAAAATTGTAAGTAACACAAGAACGTTGTTCATTAGTTGTTTTTATCAAACAAGGAAAGCAAAAACATTTACCCCTTTTTATGTACGTAAATTACGCTACACCTTAAGCCTAACGAAGGTTCTGCAGTCTAACTGATCTACTCCTTAAGCCTAACGAAGGTTCTGCATTTGAACTGAAGGTTTACTACAGCGTTGTTTCTAAATCTGGAGTATACGAAGTATCTATCCTTTTGGGATTACTGCACTTTAGCAGGTGCTACCTGTTATCGTAATAGCGCGCGCACCATCAAGCAGGAAAGAGCACGTGCGAGATAATTCAATCTAATTGGTTAAAACGTAAGACAAAGGTGATTTATTCTTGGTTATATTTGTTAATAATGGAATATGACGATTTTAATTTTAATCGATATTTAACCAATACCAGCTCAAACTCAGCAGACCTTAACTAATGTCTGAATATCTACCTGGGATAATAATGGGACAAATTTATTACACAAGGCAAGTACATTTTGGCAGTATCACCGCAAGGTACCAAATGACGACGTCAATAAAAGTTTGTGTCCTCTTAGTAACAATTGACATGCGCATTAAAAATTCCAGGAAAAAGCGCCCACTAAAGTGCAATTTGTTTATTGAATTTCGCGAAAAGCTAATTAAGGACTATCCGCGCTAGCGTCCCTAATTTTAAAGTGACAGACTATAGGGAAACAGCTAGTCAACACACACACACACACCCTCCTCGAAAGCCAACTTTTTTACCAACGAATAGTAGGATTGAACGTCACATTATAACGCCCCAATGGTTGAAAGAGCAAAAATGTTTGGTGACGGGATTTGAACTCGCGACCCGTAGGACTGAGAGTCAAGTGCCCTAACTATCAAGTCATGCCATGTCCCCCCCCCCCCCAATTGTAATATAGCTGTTATTGTCACTTTATTAACTTTTACTAGTGAGATCACATGTGCATCTCGACGAATAATGTCACATGTCGAAATCCGAATGTTTAAACGTTAATATCTTCGAAATCAAACAAAAGGTTCATTACTGTCAGTAATTTGTAAAACTAATAAATGCTGAGAAAAAAAAATTCGTACAGACTTTAACAAAGAAAATTATAGGGCTTTCGAAAACCCATACTCAAAGATTCCCTAATCCTGCCAAAATCGATTTTTGTACATCAAACTACCGCCAGGGGATATTACAACAGCAGTGTCTCAAATTAAAATATAAATCCGAATCCACTGACCAAATGATTTGTTTTTGTTTCCCTAATTAAATTATTTCATAGTAGGTTTTTATTTTTTTTTAACTGTAACCAAAATTTCAGTAATTTTCCAAGACCGTAATTAACAAAAAAAAAAAATTAGTTTTCCCAAAATTTCCAGTAGCGAGATTTTTTTTAAGAGCTCATGACCTTCACACGGAGCTTTTCATACATGGAAGCGAGTGATTGACTAGCCTCACCAATAATCAAACGTTTTTATTCAAATGTGTGTTTTAATCGCATTAGCTCCCCGTCTGGAGAATCAGGACTAACGAGATATTTCAGATAGTAATTAATTCATCGATAATGTGCAAGAAAAAAAAAAAAAAGAATGAAGAAAAAAAACTCCGTTTTTGACACTTGTTTATTGGATTTTTCTTTACAAGATAAAGCACTTTCAAGAAGCGTGCAAACAAAGCCATCATTAATACTTTACGACTTATTCATGGTTTTCTTTAACTGCATACACACAAACTCATTTGGTGAAAATCTCGCAAGGGAACAAACATACAGTCTCTTATACAGTTAAGTATTACTTATCATAACCGTATATATATATATATATATATATATA